TGCTACTGTTCATGGGTAACTAGAGCCCTGTTTCCCTTGTCTTTATATTCAAAGCAGACTTGGACTAAATAGTCCTTCAAACAACAACAACAACAACTGTAGGTCAGATTGGGCTTCATTCAGACTCACTGAAATGAATGGGATAAGTGTAAGTCATACCTAAGTTATGTGGTGTATAACTTACACCACATAAGCCAACCTGGTGTACTGATTTGAGTGTACAACTATATGACTCTGGAGACCAGGGTTTGAATCTCTGCTTGATTTAAAGGCACACAAGAACAACCTAGGTTAAGTCCAACTAATTTCAAAGCCTACTATAAGGATACTTAGGTCTGGATCCAAGTCACTGCCATGTGTTTGTTTTTACCTCATTATTTTTGTTCTTTAGAACATCTGCTTTAAATCCAACTGCTTTAAATCCAACTATGTATGTATTTCTCCCTGACTCTGAGAATTTTCATCTATATTTTCCCCTCTTCCTCTTCCCTAGACTCTGTTTGGCCAAAACAGAATTGTGTTAACAAAAGACTAGGACTTGAAATAAATTTTGGATACATCTCATAGTACAATACACTGGGTATTAGAAGGAGGCCTATTAATCCAAGTACAAACATCAGTGCTGAGACAAACTAATTATTTCCTCCTTGTATACCATACATTACATTGCATCTGCATTAGTATTTCTTCAATAACACACTTCTTTAACATACCAAAACCCAACATTTTATCTCAGCTTTTTTGTTTTGTTTTATTAACAGATATGCTTTCTTTTGCTTCTTATTAACTCTCATCTGCAAGTGATTTCTTTAAAAAGCAAGAGTTCACATGCTCTCTGTTGTGTCCTGTGTTAGCTTTCCATACCCCCAAGAGTTCCTTTATTAATTGGGACCCTCCTCCACAGTCCCTTTTCCATTAGCCAATGTTTTGGTATCTAGTGAGCCAATTCTTCTCTCTTGTCCACAGCCTGTGACCTTGGACTCTAGTCCTAGCCTGTGATAGGAAGTAAAAATTGTGGAAAGAATGTTTTAGAAATAGCATGAGTATGGAAACAAAGTTTGATATGTACTGCTGAGGGCGGCTGTGTACGTTAACAAAATGCATATGCGTGAGAAAACAAGAACAAAGATGAGAACTTCCAGTCCTTAAAACATTAAGCTTGCATCACATCTTTGTGAACATTCCCCAATTAAAATAGATCCCAAAGTTTTCTCTCCCCCAAGTTCACAGTCACATTATGTGCTATACATGAGCTGTGATCTCATCAGCTGTTTCAAAAAAGAACAAATGTTGATCTTCCCATGGTAGGAATGGAGATGTTCCAAAGAAAAACCAGGATGTTCCTAGGCAGTAGTGGTATATATTGTGGATTTTTGGTTCCATATGTGGACTGCTGGTTGCTCTGACATTTAACATGGTTTTACAAGATGATATGTAGGCATTCAGCCTGCTCGCTAGAGCTAAGAGGGGATACAAATGACCCCCGTGCCCAATATAGGAGTGCTGAAAATTGACAGGATTGGGGAAGTAGTGAGAAGCACTTGCACATGTACCTCCATCCTCTTCCACTACCAGTTGCGATTAATGATCAGTAGATCCTTCATTGTCAACTACAGAGCCAAAGAGCTAAATTCAGCCAAAATTTTACCAAAGGAGATAAAGTGGAATCTTGACTTAAACCCCATTCTCTCACTAATTATGACATAACTGTACTGAAACAACCTGAAGTGGGACAGAAAACAACTGGGTGGATGGCACAGATTCACAGCAAAAAAGGCCAAGCTTGGTTCCCTTCTTCTGCTAGTGTTTGTAAAGCTTAATTGCTTACAGATGAGGGCACTATGATGACATCATTACTAGATTTCTTATCCTACGCCTTTCTTAGTCTCTCATCACTTCTCCAGTTCAGTTGTACACTTGAGGATGTAACCCAGGGGTAGGCAACCTTTCCCCTTTAAGGGCCGAGGGACTTCAGCTCCCAGAAGCCTCAGCCATGTTGGACAATAGTCCCATGTTGGCCAATAGCTCCTGGGATTCTGGGAGCTGAAGTCCCTCGGCCCTTAAAGGGGAAAGGTTGCCTACCCCTGATGTAACCAGAACTACACAGCAGACCTGCACTTTTCTTCCCTGGATATCACAAAGTAAATGAATCGGGTATTACAGGCCAACATGAGAAAGTGGTTCCATAAATGGCTTCTATATGGCTTTCAAAATCCCAATGTAGTCCTTTGAAGCAAACTAAAAGTATCTTCTTCACTCAAAGGCTAGGTTTTCTCCCTGACATTATTAATATAAATTCAACTACCACCAAAAAGGCAGAGTTGGATAAAATAACCCTGGAGGTAATTCTAAATGTCATCAACACTAGTAGATCTAGATGTAATGTGGCTCTTCAGTAATGGGAGTTTCTTAACATACTTCAAAAGAAGAAGAAACTCAAAAAGTGGCTGCTAATGGTGTTTTCCCCCCTAGGACACCCACAGCTCAGCTGTAAGTCAAACACTGGACTTATATCTGACAATATGAAGATGAGGCCTGAATGCTGATTACTCATGCATTGATAGTGAGATGAGATTCCACTGTATAAGTATTCCTTAGTTCCTAAATGAAACTTTTCAATCTTTAATATTTAAAGAAAACTTAAAGCTGTGTAGAATTCCATATTTGGGCTAGAATACTCAGTAGCTGCTTTCTCATGATAACACCCCATAATAACATCTGGTTGCATTATCACTTGTCTCTGAAAAGCACTTCACATTTAATTATAAGCCAAATCCAAATATTTCTTATTCACGAACATCTCTGTTGATAGATTACATTTATTTTATATACCTGAACATGAAAGGACAGATGGCAAAATGCAGCTGATGGCCTTGTAGTTAAATTTCTGTTTTATTCCACTGTGGTTAAGCAATGAAATAAATTCTCTCCTTCCCTCCATTCACCAAAACAAAATGTACTTTTAACTTTCAGAGAAATATGTCATATTCAATACTGTTGGATTCTTTTCAAGTAGGAGAATTTAAACTGTGATTACTCAAATGTGAGTCAAAAGTGCTTACTGGTCTAAGGGTGTACATAAGTGTACATACAATTGCCACATAAATTCTAACACTTAAAATAGATGCTGTTATATTACTATAAAGGATTGTTTGGAGGACATGATTTGTATAGCTCTTTATTACTTCTAATGTTGAAAAAAGCTATTTAACTTCAAGCTGACAGTCAGCCTCCTTCCAAACATCTGAGGGCCAAAACAAGCATTCTGTAAATTCAAAGCAAACAGCTACACATTTAGTTTTCTTATGCTAACTATAGGTGGACACAGACTGGGGGGAAGTGCTGTCCATTGGGAGGTCTTGTGTTTTTAATTCTTCATTGTGATTGGACTCTACAACTTCCCCTTGTTAATCTAACACAAACACAACACAGGTACTGGATGGAATGCCTGGAATCTGGGTAAAACCTGGACAAAACCAGGGGTATAACAACTTTAGTTTATGAGAACATGAGAGAGACCCTTCTCTGTGGTGCCTCCCAGACTTTGGAACTCTCTTTCCTTTCCTTAGCTTTGCTTTTCTAATCAAATCCAGTTGTGTCCAACATCTTCAGCTTTATCCATTTTCAGCTACCCCCATAACTATGGAAGTAACTGAAAAACAGTACATAAAAACTTTAATTTTGGGCTACAGCTCCTAGACTTCCTAGCCAGTGTAAGTTACAACTACACTGTAAAAGAGGATAGGTTATTCCTTGATGAATCACAATCATAATCCAATACAGCTATGTCTTTGGTGTGGGAAAATAATACATTATTAGCTATTTGTAATAGTTATTTCCAGACATTAGGTTTCACTATTACTTGCAGTGTGAAGCAGGTGAACAAGGGGCATTTTGGACCCACTCACTGTGTCAATCAAATTATGTTTCAGTCTTCTTACAAAGTACCTCATAGTAGTATTTCTTTAAAATGTATTTATTTTCAGAAAAGCACATAGCACTTTGTCTAAATCTGACCCCCTTTTTACACCCCCCTAAGGTTTCCATGTGTAGACACATTACTCAAAGTATTGTCTGGAACTTTCATTTGTGGGAAGGATTCTTTTTGGTTTGGGAACAATAAACATGCTATGAAAAACCCATTAAGGTCTCCTGCTAATATTGTAGTGGGAAATTAGTCTAATAAAGCTTTGAAGAGAGAATAACTAGTGTCTGAGATCTGTTATATGACCATTAGAAAATCACTTGCGTGGAAAACATCTAGTAGATTGTTCCAGAAAGCTAAAACATGTATTCTGATGGTTAAGAAGATTTCATAGAGCATAAAAAAATAGATTTGATAAAACTAGAAAAGAAAATAGAGAATAAATATAAAAAGCAGAACAGGAAGCTTCACTGAGCATTAACTTTCATTCAGTAAAATGACATGAAAAAGATAAATTATTGATATTTCCTAAATCATTGATTGTAGCAATATTGTTGAAAAAAATATGTGTGAATAATACATAAATATAAAATGAATGCCATAGTTTATTTGAGGCTTGTAAAAATTAACAAAATTCCTATGCAAATGCTTGTCTATAGACATGTGGGCTAAAATAGGGTCAGAGAAATGCAGGCAAAGTCCCACCCAAATTTCCAAAGCATGTGTACTCCTCAGAAGGTCTGCTTGTGCTTTGCAGGATGTTTGGTGAACAGGATGTATCTGCTTTCAGCTAAGTGTGAAATCAGGAATCCTGCCTTGTCAGGGTTCCTGAATGGGTTCCTGAATGGCTAGAGACTTCTAACATTCTAAACATGAATAGAAACTTCCTGCTAAAAAAAAAAAAAAGCATTTAGAAAAGTCCACATACCCAGGGACACATGAATGCAGATGAATCTTTATTAGTGGCAAAGTAGTAAAAGAAAAATCTAGAAGGAATGTGTGCTGAGATTTGGAAATGAAATAGTACTGTGTACTAGTAATAACACTAGTGGAATATAACCGATCATACATAAGAGCCAGCATGGTGTAGTGGTTTGAGTGTTGGACTATGACTCTAGAAATCAGGGTTCGATTCCCCGCTTGACCATGAAACCCACTGGGTGACCTCAGGCAAGTCACACACTCTGAGCCTCAGAAGAAGGCAATGGCAAACCTCTGAACAAATCTTGCCAGGAAAACCATTCATAGGTTCATTTTCAGGTCGTCATATGTCAGAAATAACATAGAGGCACACAACAACAACAACAACAACAACAAGTATAAGATATGCAATTGATACCATAAAACTAGCAGAAAATAACAATGACTTGGAACAACTACAAAGGAAAGTCAAAGAAGAAAGTGCAAAGGCAAGGTTTAATGCTGAACATTAAGAAAACAAAGGGCCAATGCAGACGGCCTGAAAGGAACAGCATAGAGCCACCCCTGGGAGCAGCAGATTGGGGCCGTGGCAACCACATGTTGTGACCCTGATCCTCCTTTTTGCAACCCCAAAAGAGCAACAAAATGGTGCTCCTTTTGGGGGCGGCAAAAGGCCTCCCTTAGAGCCACCACGGTGGCTCTTTTGCATCCTTTTGGTGCCCCGTGCACACACACTGTGCCAAGACGGCGTCCTGATGCCGCGTGCCATGCGGATGGGCATGCAGCATCAGGACAGCATTGGGGTGGAGTCATGGTGGCTGGCGTGTGGCTGCCTGATCCCAGCTCTACCCCCAGGCTGGACCTTTGTGCTGGTCTGCATTGGCCCTAAAATAATGACCATGGAGTATATTCACAGATTCAATATAGATGATGAGAAAATTAAAATAGTCAATAGACATATCTTAGATCAGAAACTGAGCAGAACAGAAAAGTCAGTCAAGAAATCAAGAGAAAACTAGGAGTAGGAAGGGCAGCTATGAAAGAACTAGATAAGACCCTAAAGTGCAAAGATATACAATTGAACCCTAAAGTGAGGATTGTTCATGCCATCATATTTATGGCTGAACAGTGAAGAAAGCTGATAGAAAACCAACTCATTTGAGATGTGGTGCTGGAAAAGAATAACTGAGAATACCATGGACAGTTAAAAAGACAAACAAATGGGTACAAGAACAAATCAGATCTGACCTTTCCCTAGAAGCCAAAATGACTAAAATGACTAACATCACTAAATGACTTTGGCCACATCATGAGAAGAAATGTCTCACTAGAAGACAATAATGCTTGGAAAGATAGAGGGCAGCAGAAAGAGAGGAAGACTACACACTAAATGATAGACTCAATCAAAGAAGACAGAGCAGTTTGCAGGAACTGAGCAGGTCCACTGAGAATGAGGAGTCTTGAAGATGCCTCTTTCACAGGGTCACCAGAGGTTGAAGTTGACTTGAGGGCAGTTAACAACAAATACATAATATAGAAATGCAATCTTGCTTTAGAAGAAGGAATGATGATGCCACTCCTTCTAGAGCTATGATTCCAAATGGCTTTATTCTTCAGCGCTAGCAAGATCCACATAATCTGGTTTGTGAGAACAGTTTGAGATGAATTGCATAAAAAGTGATAACATTTTACATAAAAGGGCACTGGGATACTATTGCATAGAAATTATTACAAAGAATTTCTGCAAGTGCCCTTTTCTCAAAAATCACATTAATATCAGTAGCTTCCTCCCTGCCCCTTAAGTTCCCTCAGTGACATTATTTAGCAACCTTGCCTTTGAGAACAAAATCTTCCCAACTGCACTTTATTAAATTATACATATGCAAGCACTTAGATAAACTAACACACTGCTTTGTTTATACTGTGAACTCCAAAAGCCATGAGTAACCAATGGGAAACAGTGTATTTTAAAAGATAAATACGTCTTGTACTTTTCATGATCTCCTGTGTCTGTAGTGGTTACTGGAAACATGCCTTTGTACATTAGATCTGTTCTGCTCAAGTTGTGTTGACATATTGTGGTTTGAGGACTCAAAGCTCAGGGGAAATGCTTGGAATATAACCTACAGTGATATACTGCAGAGTGATAGACCATGTTACACCTGCCTTCTTTTCCTAAGGGAAGCACATTGACAGATAGTTCTCTTACCTCTCATCTTTTCTGTAGAGTTATTGTCTCTTCCTCTTTCATGCCAGGAATGTTTTTTTCAGATAACAATTCCAAGGATTTATAAAGTTAGTTTTGCAAGAGATGTGGTGATAGCAAAGCTTTGGTGTTTGATCTTCTGACTTATAGACAATTTCTAAAGATAAGGGAAAGGGTCCAGGACAGAAAAAGTTTACTCTAGATGTAATATCAGATCAGGGGCAAACAAAGAATAGCCCCCAAAGTTGCTTTCATGGGAAACAGATTCCACATGTGCCTAAATGTTGGGCCTAATAGTAATGAGTTCTAACTCCAAAGGAATTACAGTTGGACATTTTAGCTCGTGTTAGGGTATCCATATCTGGGGTCCTATCACACAAGACAATTAAAGTACTATATTCCACTTTAAGTGACATAAGCTGCATCCACACTGCAGAAATACTCCAATTTGACTCAACTTTATTTGCTATGGAATTCTTGGAATTGTAGTCTGGGAATTACAGTTTCCAGAATTCCATAGCACTGAGACATGTTAGTTAACATCACCACTTAAACATAGAATCACCACAAGGGCCATCCAGTCCAACCCCCTGCCATGCAGGAACTCATACTCAAACACTCCTGACAGATGGCCATCCATCCTCTGTTTCAAAATATCAACAGAAGGAGACTCCACCACACTCTGAGGAAGTGTGTTCTGCTATTGAACAGCTCTTATTGTCAGGAGATTCTTCCTAATGTTTAGGTGGACTCCTTTTTCCTATACCTTCCATCCATTGTTCCAGGTCCTATTCTCTGGAGCAGCAGAAAACAAGCTTGCTCCAACTTCAATATGACACCCTTTCAAATACTTAAACAGGGTTATCATATCACCTGTTAACTGTATCTTTTCCAAGCTAAACATACCCAGCTCCATAAGTCTCATCTTACAATGGTTTCCAGACCCTGTCAAACCGGAGTATTTCTGTAGTGCAGATGCAGATGCAGCCATAGCATGGAATCCTGTGGATTGTAGCTTGGGGGAGGTATTAAAGCTCTCTGGCTGAGAATTCTAAGTGCTCCTCCCTAAAATACCAATTCCAGGATGTTGCCATGACCATTAAACTGGAATCATAGCTGTTACTGAGTAGTATGGAAGGCCCCATGTTTTAGGACTTTGGGAAATGAAAAACTGCAATTTCCAGTTGCTTCCAGAAAAAAATCCCTTAGGGATTAAAACAGGTCATTTTTCTATGGCCAATCATATCCTTGGAGGCATCTGAAGGCATCATTAGCAATCTTTACCCTCTACTTTAGGCCCACCTTTGTGATCATGGGAGTGGGCCTCTGAAAAGGGCTTGGATGAAACTTGTGATTTTCAGTTTGTTTTCTTTTTGAGGAGTATAGACTAAATAGATAAGAGTAAAGAGTTGATGATGAAGAGGTTTATAGCAATCAACTAAGCAGGAATACAGTACATTAATTCTTCTCTATGAAACCTGGTGTGTGTCTTCACATTTCACTTTAGCAGAATGAAAAATATCAAAAGCTTTTTCCCTGATGAGTGAGGCTGTGAGAGTTTTTGTGTGTTTTTGCTTTGTGTGGGTTTGTGTGTGATTATTTTGGGACTTTGGTGTGGAATTGTTATGAAGAGTTTATTATAGTGTGCAAAACTTTGGAGTTTTGTTCAAAACTTTCCCCCAAAAATATCTCTTTATTGGTTAACTTCCTCCCCCCCCCATTAATTGATCATTAATTGGATAGCAAATACAGATGAGGTGAAGTGAGGAAGGATGGGACTGTGGGATGGGCATTATTCCAATGCCACAATGTATCACTATTTTAAAGTAGATTTTCCAGCATCATAATTCCTTTCCATCAGCACCTATCTTTCTGAGGAGCTTATTGAAATGCAGAGGAGTGGGGTAAAATCAATTTGGCCCAATTACAATGCAGAGGGGCAGGGTATAAATAATTTTTTATTATTATTTATTATTATTATTATCATGCAAGGCCATTAAAGCAGCAGGATAAGGGAACAATAGCCCATTCAATTCCCTTCTGTTGCATGACTTCGGTGCTATTCCATCAGTACAGCATAAAAGACCATTGTAAAAGTGGTTCTTTTTACTTGCACAAATAATCCAATAGTAACCTCTTTTATTGATTCTTTTGTGTATGATTTTCAGTGCAAATGTTCAATAGTACTTTTCTGCTGATTTTGGTTGGTCAGTGGGCTTGGCAGTGCCACTAAAGGGAGAGCAGTACCCCCAGCATAAATAGATACACAAATGGGTACCAAGACTATGGCAGCTGCAAAGTGTGTGGAAGATCAAAAATATTTTGCCCTCCTGGCCTTAAAAGTGCCACAGTTTTTCTCTCTTCTTTCCTTCTCCTTTGCTGTCTTTAATAACACTTTTCTGGGCAAGAAAATACAATGTGGGGAGAGAAGACATGGTCATGACATTATGCATGTTTGAGCTGATCCTTTTAAAGGTATTTCTTTACTGTGATTTTGGATCTTTTTAATGGTGCTATATAAGAAAAACATTGTTAGGTTTTCTCTGCAGTGGCACCCCATTTGTGGAATGCTCTCCCCTTGGTGCCGACAATGGTATCATTTCTGTATCAATTCAAAACTTGTCTTTTTATTAAATCCTTTGGGCCAAATTGATTTTATCCAGGCTGCATATGTGCAATAGGTGCACTATTTTAAATTGCTTTAACTGGTTTTAAATGTCTGGTTTTAATTGATAAACTGTTTAATATATTTTAATATTTTAAAATTGTTTGTTGGGATTCACAATGGCAATTATGAATGTGGAACCTAGAATTATATAG